TATTTAATATTTAATATTTAATATTTAATATATATAATATAATATTTAATATTTAATATTTAATATTTAATATATATAATATAATATTTAATATTTAATATTTAATATTTAATATATATAATATAATATTTAATATTTAATATTTAATATTTAATATATATAATATAATATTCACCCCACGTTGTTTATAATATTATACTAAATAAAGTTAAGAGTTTATTAAAATAGGATTTAACAGAAATAAAAGTCCCGTTGCTGCGATTACAAAAGAAAAAAGAAAACAAAGATTAACATTAAAATTCTCGCTATTCTCGCTAGATCTACTGGCGACTCGAAATACTATACTCTCTGTCTCGTTACTCTCTCATGTCTCACTACTCTCTATGTGATTTCTTCACAACATGCTCATACACACAAACACTTATACCTATTAATATTTTTAAGCCCTAGGCTTGGGTTAAAATAAATAATCCCAGACCTTGTAATCATCGTTGGGCCTTCGTTGTAATCATCAAGTAGCACTCTGCACGCGACAATTATCTCGTTCTTCGACACTGAAAATTCCCGATCCTTTTCCCAGATTTCCCCATCCCGTAATGTTCCGCGCTGAACGCGAAATTCTTCCGAAATTCTCCGACCTGGGCGAGATTAACTCGGACGAAACCAATTAACTTCCAGGCCCTCCGATCGCTTCGAGTAGACGACGAGTTGGCTATCTTCGACATCTCGGGGATTTGTTTCCTGCGAAAGTCCCGCGTTCGTTAAGAAAAAGAATCTTTCATCGCTAGCGACGGTCGCGTTCGATAAATTATCCCAAGAGTGAATTATTCCACCGCTTCGGGAGATTTTATCGGCTGATAATTATTGACAAGCGGATTTATTCGAGAATAAAATTGCTCGGCCAACGCGCGAGGCTTTACCCTTCGGGCGTTTGTTTGCGTTGCTCGCGACGCTATCAATATCGATGCTGTTCGATAAAAATTCAAGAAATTCTTTTTCAGTCGTCGTGATCATTGCATTAACGCGTTAATTGCCGTATCGGTTTCCGGTGACCGATAAAGCAAATTTAGTACATGTAAATTAAAAAAAACTTTAAAATTACAAGAAAGAATAGTAGCTGAATATTGCTTTCATTGATATTTATTGTATAAACAGTGTAATATTTATTGTATACAGTGTAATAATGAAATAGTAATTTTAATGAGTTTTATTAAAACAGTTTAGAAAAAGATGTGGTTTCCGGTGGCCGACGAAGCAAATTTACTACACGTAAATTAAAAATAAAAAATTTTAAAATTACAAGAAAGAATAGCAGCTGAATATTACTTTCATTGGTATTTGTTGTATACAGTGTAATAATGCAATAGTAATTTTAATGAGTTTTGTTAAAACAGTTTAGAAAAAGATGTGGTTTCCGGTGACTGACAAAGCAAATTTAGTACACGTACATTAAAAATTGAAAAATTTTAAGATTACAAGAAAGAATAGTAGCTGATTATTCCTTTTATTACATAAACATTGATGTTTATTATCTATACTATATTTATTATATAATATTATATATATTATATTTATTTTATAATACTATATATACTATATTTTATTATTATATAAACAGTTGTAGGTATACTACTTTTTAGGCGAAAGATATAGTTTTCCTTCGCACCATTCACAGAATGTCGTAATTTTCTTAGTCACATTTCTACTATTATTTCTTCAGCAGCGTTGCATTTCCTTTTCGTGACAATTTCCACAAAATTTTCCGACTTGGGACGCTGGATACATGAATTCTTCAGTATTTCCTTCTCTTGTTTCTTTTTTCCCGAAAAATATACGTAGTCTGAGAATTTTGTGAAAGTTGCTTCATTTATTATTTAATTGATAGTACCCAATTGACTATTATCTGAAAAATATTAAATTATATAAAAAATGTTATTATTATATTACTGTTATTTCATATACTATTATTTTTCTTTTATTATTTAATTCAGTATTTCTT